TCCCCAAAGGGAAGGGGGAGAGCAGAGAATATTTCAGTTTCCCACTTGGAACTATCTTGTCCCTGATGATGCTACCCCTCCCTCGCCCACCCCCCTCCCTCTTCTTTTCTGAAATATGGACAAAAAAGCCGAAAGTGTTTTCCATTTCATCAGAGAACATCTATTACTTCAGCGGTTCGGTAAAATGTTGGTTTTCTGCCCACCCCTTTTCAATCTGCCCCTGTCTGAGGTGCTGGGGAAGACGCACAATCGTGAGCAGCTTACGACACTCAGTGAGCAGTAGGTGCCGGTACAGCTCGCGCCGCACACTGCCTGGCGGAGGAAGGAGCCGGGCGCCCTCGCCGCTCCCCACGCCGCCGCCCGCGAGGATGAGCGAGCCCGCTCCCCGCAGCTGCCCGGGGCGCGGATGGCAGGCGGGCTCCGCGGAGTCAAAGGTGGCGCCGGGCAGTGGGCATTTCCAATGACGGACATTCACCAGACCGGCGCATCCTGGGGAGTCGCGAGCCCCGAGTTTGGAGTTGTTTTTTTTTTTTTTTTCCCCCACAACGTCACAGTCCGAACTGCAGAGGAAAAGGACGGCGGCAGCAAGGCGAAGCCCGGGCTCCTCCGGCTCGTAGTTGGGAAACTTGCGGGTCCTAGAAGTCGTCGCCTCCCCGCCTCGCCCGCCGCCCTTGCAGCCCCGAGCCGATCAGCAAAGTGAGACATTGTGCGCCTGCCAGATCCGCGGGCCGCGGACCCGGGCTGCCTCGGAAACACAGAGGGGTCTTCTCTCGCCCTGCATATAATTAGCCTGCACACAAAGGGAGCAGCTGAATGGAGGTTGTCACTCTCTGGAAAAGGGTGGGTAAGACACTTTTTAATTAAATTCTTTCCCGAAGATTTCTTCCCCTCCCCTTTCTCTGCTGCAGCTTCTAACATGGACCAAATCACCATCTCTTTGATCTTTCCGTGGCTGTGAACTTTCCATGCCGCCCAGCTTTCTGCATGCTTAGAGGTGAACGTGTGGTGTTTGGGGAGGGGGGTCCTTCTTTCTTTCTATATATTTATTTGATTTTTGCCCTTTTCTCCCCCTCCCCCGCCCCCCCTCCCTCGGAATAAAATATGATGTAGATTTCTGACCGAGCGCTTCCAATGGACATTCTCCAGTCTCTCTGGAAAGATTCTCGCTAATGGATTTCCTGCTGCTCGGTCTCTGTCTATACTGGCTGCTGAGGAGGCCCTCGGGGGTGGTCTTGTGTCTGCTGGGGGCCTGCTTTCAGATGCTGCCCGCCGCCCCCAGCGGGTGCCCGCAGCTGTGCCGGTGCGAGGGGCGGCTGCTGTACTGCGAGGCGCTCAACCTCACCGAGGCGCCCCACAACCTGTCCGGCCTGCTGGGCTTGTCCCTGCGCTACAACAGCCTCTCGGAGCTGCGCGCCGGCCAGTTCACGGGGTTAATGCAGCTCACGTGGCTCTATCTGGATCACAATCACATCTGCTCGGTGCAGGGGGACGCCTTTCAGAAACTGCGCCGAGTTAAGGAACTCACGCTGAGTTCCAACCAGATCACCCAACTGGCCAACACCACCTTCCGGTCCATGCCCAACCTGCGCAGCGTGGACCTCTCCTACAACAAGCTGCAGGCGCTCGCGCCGGACCTCTTCCATGGGCTGCGGAAGCTCACCACGCTGCACATGCGGGCCAACGCCATCCAGTTCGTGCCCGTGCGCATCTTCCAGGACTGCCGCAGCCTCAAGTTTCTCGACATAGGATACAATCAGCTCAAGAGTCTGGCGCGCAACTCTTTCGCCGGCTTGTTCAAGCTCACCGAGCTGCACCTGGAGCACAACGACTTGGTCAAGGTGAACTTCGCCCACTTCCCGCGCCTCATCTCCCTGCACTCGCTCTGCCTGAGGAGGAACAAGGTGGCCATTGTGGTCAGCTCGCTGGACTGGGTTTGGAACCTGGAGAAAATGGACCTGTCAGGCAACGAGATCGAGTACATGGAACCTCATGTGTTTGAGACCGTGCCGCACCTGCAGTCCCTGCAGCTGGACTCCAACCGCCTCACCTACATCGAGCCCCGCATCCTCAACTCCTGGAAGTCGCTTACGAGCATTACCCTGGCCGGGAACCTGTGGGACTGTGGGCGCAACGTGTGTGCCCTGGCGTCCTGGCTCAGCAACTTCCAGGGGCGCTACGACGGCAGCTTGCAGTGCGCCAGCCCCGAGTACGCCCAGGGCGAGGACGTGCTGGACGCCGTGTACGCCTTCCACCTGTGCGAGGATGGGGCCGAGCCCACCAGCGGCCACCTCCTCTCGGCCGTCACCAACCGCAGTGACCTGGGAGCCCCTGACAGCTCGGCCACCACGCTCGCGGACGGCGGGGAGGGGCAGCACGACGGCACGCCCGAGCCCGTCACCGTGGCTCTCCCAGGCGGCGAGCACGCGGAGAACGCCGTGCAGATCCACAAAGTGGTCACCGGCACCATGGCCCTCATCTTCTCCTTCCTCATCGTGGTCCTGGTGCTCTACGTGTCCTGGAAGTGTTTCCCAGCCAGTCTCAGGCAGCTCAGACAGTGCTTTGTCACGCAGCGCAGGAAGCAAAAGCAGAAACAGACCATGCATCAGATGGCTGCCATGTCTGCCCAGGAATACTATGTTGATTACAAACCGAACCACATTGAGGGAGCCCTGGTGATCATCAATGAGTATGGCTCCTGCACCTGCCACCAGCAGCCCGCGAGGGAATGCGAGGTGTGATTGTCCCAGTGGCTCTCAACCCATGCGCTACCAAATACGCCTGGGCAGCCGGGCGGCCGGCCGGCGGGCACCAAGCTGGGGTCCCCTGGTCTGTGCTCTGATATGCTCCTTGACTGAAACTGTACGGGGATCTCTCCCAGAGACCTGACATTTTAGCTTTATTGTGTCTTAAAAACAAAAACGAAATAAAACACAACAAACGAAACCCCACCCCACAACCTTCAGGACAGTCTCTGTTAAAATTTCATATGAGAAATCCTTCCTCCCTTTGAAGATCTGCCCATATTCAGGAATCTGAGAGTGTAAAAAAGGTACCAATCATTGATTTTTTTTTTTTTGTAAACTAAAATGTTTAAAATAAAATAGCATTTACAGTTTGTACAGACTGGTGTAACCTAAATGAGCTGTTACCTGTGTTACAAGAGAAGCAACAGTTACAATTCCCTGGGGGTGGAGGTGGGCGGCTTAGGGCTTGGGGAGCTTGGCCAGTGGCAGGATTGAAAAATCAAAGAGAGAAGTGGTCAGATGCAGTTTGAAATGTTAAGAAGGGCAAACAAAGCTTATCAGTGTAATGAGTCAGGTTAATGTACCCCACAGGAGGGAGGCTGAAAAAGTCAGCAGGGTTCTGCCTTGCCTGGGGAGTGGGCAGTGCAATGTAAGCACTTTAAAGCAAGGGAAAGGTGGGTTGAAGTTTCGGCCTCACTGCTTAGCCTTTAGGGCAGAGAGAGATCACTGCAAATGGCTTTTAAAAGGCAGTGCCAGACAGTTTCTCCTGTAAGAAATATTTTTGCACTTAATGCAATCATCTTTCAAATGAACTCAAAATTTCACCCTTACATGCTACTTAATTATAATTCCCCCATGCATCTGATTCACCAGAATTGGTAGCATCCGCACCCTGTTTGATACCTTCTGAGGTTAAAACCCCTCAGCTCAGCTCTCTCTGGTTTCCCTGAGCAGGAGACGGAATCCCAACATGCAAAGCTGAAATCTGTGCTCGCGGAGCACATTGCTAAAACTGCAGCACGCTTAGGCTCTGAGCAGTGTTCACATACGTATTCTGAGGTACTAAGGGCAAAGGGGAAATCCTGACTTAGGGTGAATGCCTACAGGATAATGAATGGCAGCAAGAGAATTTAGGGTCAGGCTTGATGCAGCAGGAATGCAGATGGGGGAGGGAGAAAAACCATCATTTGATTCTGTGTTTGCATATTACTGAGATGGGAGTAATTTGTTAATGCAGGACAGGAAAGCTGCCTCTTCCCAGATAGACTTTTTGGGTCATGCCTGCTTTCCCTGTGCTTTTCACTTTTTGTGTGTTGGGGTGGTTGTGGCCCCTTTTCCCCCTCACATGCCTCTGGGCTCATTACTGAGATTTCAGGGATTTTTCCCCCTAAATTGAACTAAAGAGTGAGGAGCTGGTGTGTGGGGGGGTAAGTGCTGGGTTCAGGGAAAGGTAAGGGGAGGGTGATACACCTTGTTGGAGAGGTCTTTCTCCAGATAACAGTTTAATTAGATGTGTAATTGAAATAAACTGTCATAGATGGCAGATGGTGAAAACTGAACCAATAGTGCCATGTCCAGAACTCTTCTCACTCTCCTAAAAGATACTAAAGCCTACTATCTCTCCTTTTACTTTTTCCCCTCTTTCTGAGCCATAAGCTGAAATAGCAGGAAGTAAGAGGGGGAATAAACACACCACCATCCCACAAAATGCAAATGCCTCCAGCCACCAACCTAAAAGACAAAATCAGCTTTTTGAAATGGACATTATCGGCAGAAGATTTACTTATGCTAAGGACTGGTGGTAGGATTCTCTTGTACCTATAGGGAAACCAACATGCCTAAAAGTAGGGCTTCCAAGAGGCTCCTTCAAGAGGAACATTTTGTGATTATCTTTAAGGCAGCCTCTCTCTCTCCTTCCCCTTCTCCCCAGCTCATTCTTCCTATAGCAAACTTGGTCTTGCTGTATCTGTAATTACACCTTGGCTTTATGGCATACTCCATGTATATAACACCCATTTAGACTATTAATGTTCTAGAAGAGAGGTGCTTTGTCCGACAACTTTGAGGAGGGGCTTTGGGATTTAGCCTAAACATGATCATTTGACATTGCCATTCTAAACACCACACCATTTGGAGGGCAAGTGTAGTAGAGATAGGATATGCCTCTCATCTACAACTAAACCCCACAAAAGAGAACTCCTGTGGAAAAAGGCATACCTTTTTATGGGGGGGAAGGTCCCTAAATCGTAGCCATTGAAGGAAAGCTTCATTCCCTCAGCCTTCATAGGAAGGCTACAGGAACCCAGTGCCAAAAGCTTGGTGCATTAAAGGCTATGTTGAAATGCTTACAGGGAATGCTTCCAGAAGCAAATCTTTTCTGGCAAACCTCAGAAGTACAGGTTTCCCCAGTCACCTAGAAATATGAACACTGGAGAGGATCATTTATTTCCTGTCTCCAAGACCTTTTTTCATGTGTTTTTTTCAATGTGACCATGAGAGAGAATAATCACACTTTGTTTTCTGCTGCTCCACCACCCCCCAGCCCATGACTAAACATCATGTATTCAGAAAATCTGAAGTCCATGTAAATCTCAAGAAAGATCATTGGAAAAAGGAATCTGCAGTTTGGAGCTTTAGGGGTAAAGGATGGCTGTGGAAAGCTGTATTCTTACTTCATGTGTGAGTCTGTATGTTTCCGCATTGTGTATCTTTGTAGGCGAGGAAATATGTTGCCTACACAAACAGGAATTTAGCTCACATCATTTCATGGTCTTGTGCCTCTTGTTTTGCGGAAGGGCAAGGAGAGGAGGGAGAAGCCAAGAATAAGGAAGAGTGGTGGTTTTAACTAAGGTTTTGTGACACTTGAAATCTTTTTTTTTTCTCAAATTAATTAATCCTTAAGCCTTGAGAAATTTGCTCTGACCCTTCTAAGCAAGCTACTGAGCATTTAAGAAGGAAGCCAATTTTTAAAGGTGTAGCACCTTTTTTGAGAGTCTCCCACAGAGGGTGCTAATCTCATTATCCAGTGCTACCTAGAAACTTAAGGCCACAATGCACGTCTCCTCCTGGGCAGTGTGATGGATTAACCCTCCATTTGTAGCCCCTTCCCAGCTGATTAAAGTTCAGCAATGCTATTGAGGTTTTGGGAATATTTATATAGAAAGAAAAAGGATTTCCAAATGACAAATGACACTTTCTTCCCAGTCTTAGCCCTGGTAGTTTTTTTAGGTTGTGCACCAGAGGACCAGGTTAAATGAAACCCATCTTTTAGCTGTCTTCAGAGGAAAGGCAGCCCCTCGCACTAAGACTTTCTCTATGATAGTGGAGACCACCAGCTCCAAAGGGACCCTATGTTTCTAAGACTGTAAAGCTACCCTCACAAAGGAAAGGTTATTTCAGTATTAGGATATTTTTTTAAAAACCCACTTTTTATATTCTCCCGAGAGCCAAAAAGTATAAGAACACCTTCCTTTTTTTCCTCTCCTACCAGGAGGACAGATACTTCGTATGACTTAGCATCAATAACATACTTACAAGGATGTATAAGTAATTAGAGGGGAGAGCACTGCTTGTTATCCTCCCAAATTTCCCAAGCAGCTGCACACACATCATGGCTAAGCTTAGGGGCCCCTTGTGTTTGTGATTTGTACTGGTCAACTTGTCAGCAAGTTTGATGCCTGTTCTTCCTGGCATGGCCAAGCGGCAGTGGGCACCAATGCATTCTGTGTTCTGGTGAAATGAAAGCCACCAGACACTTCTCCACAGAGAACATCGTTGAGGGATCCGAATTTATATGTGCTTTGGAGAAGGAATGTCCTGGTATTTCATGGTAGTCAAAATAAACATCAATTAAATGGGCAGTTGTGTTAGTTGATTTGAGTTGGCCATTGATGGAATGTCAAGTAATATGGATTTAGCTATACATAACTGGTAAACATAGTCTTGAAATACATATGGAGGAAGGCTTAAGAACACACACAGAAACATTTCCACATATGATTATATATATATATATATATATGACCAAATGTGTATATATATATTCATGCATATGAATACATATATGCATGCACTTTTATATATATAGCCATACATATAAATACACAAGCATGCTCTCACATACACACAACCACATTACATAACAACCTTCTAGCTCTAATTCCTTCCTTCCTTCTTCTGTTATCAAACTTTTACTCTGGAGAAGATCCGATAAAATCAGCCACAATAACAATATAAAGGACTGACATGGGTGACGGTGCTTTCAGGGATCAGTTACAAATTGGGACAGGCTGTGCAAGCTGGGGGTCCCCTCTGCTGCTGTTGTGGCACAGACTGTACACCCACCGTCTAACGGTTAGAGCCAGCAAATGGCAATGCATTCTTTTCAGAGTATTTCTCACCTCTGGGGTAAGCTACATATTTCTCCACTAAAAAAAAAAAAAAAAAAAAAAAAATGCTCACTCTTATTTTTCCCACCTGGATCTGAGAGGCAAAATTCTTCTGACGGGGATCCTTTTCCTAGTTTTCTTCAATTATACACATTTCTGAAGGCCTTTGATTTTTGCTGAAAGTGAAGGGGCCTGGTTGTTACATCCTTAAGGTTTACACAGAAATTCAAACGAGATGGAGAAATAAAATTTACTGAGGATTTACATGGAATAGGTACCTTTGATGAGATCCTGATATATGAATGAGGTGCTAGCAATCTTATCTTTCTGTGAGGAATCTGGGACTCAGAGACATTATACAGCTGGTGCAGTCACTCAGCTAGTGGATTGTAGCACTGGTACTCAAAATACTGGCCTTTTCACTACTCCCTGTTTCTTTTTTCTTTAAATGGTTGCCCTCATTATATCCACACCAACAAACAATCTGGACTGGGCACAGAGTATATGTTTTATTTTGTTGTTTTTTTTTTTTTTTTTTTTTTTTTTTTTTTTTTTT